ACACCCATCACCGTGCTAAAGAAGATCCAAAACAGATTTAGAGTTCCACAAATGTTTGGCCACTTACAAACAGTAATTTCTATGCGTCTGGAATGGAAAGAGCGCTCTCTCAGTGGAGGGGCACATCCTGGTAACCTAATCAGTATTAGGCATAGGCTGGCGAGAGCCAAGGCCCCCAGAGTGTGCATTAGGGCAGGGGTTCCCAAATCGTCTGGGCTCAAAGCCTCCCATAACGGAGGACTCCCACTTGGCTCTGGAGCTTCCTGCACAACAATCTCAAGAGGTGACAACAACCTTCGGGTGAAATGTTAACTGACCCACCCACCCAGAGGAGGAACTTTCTACCAGTGTCTGAAACGCTGTACACTGCCCCAGCGCCTTGGGAGGTCCTCCCGATGTGAAAGGCGCTTTACAAATGTAACCTTGTTGTTGAGGACACCGAGCCACCGACCCTCCAAATAAAGTGGTCATTCACTTTGTGGCTGTTTGTGGACTGTGCTTATTCAAATTGGCTGCCACACCTGCCCACAAATACAGTCACTACACTTTTACAGATTTCATATACAGTACTTTCAGCACTTTCATATACAGCAGCACTTTTGTGCTACTTTTAGGTGCTACCGTAAATGAAATGCAAACATTATGACTAAAAATTCTAGTGCTAAGAGCACCAACGGCACGCAGAATATGACAGTAAAGCAAACACTATTGTACAGTACCAAACAGAACAGCAGAACTATTACACCATCACAGGAACAGGAGTAGGCCATTCAGCTCAAGCCTGTTGCGCCATTCTATAGGATCATGGCTGACCTGTACTTCCAACTCCAATTACTTCCTTACCCCATATCACTTGATACCCTTACATATCAAATGTCTATCCACCTTAACCTTGACACGTGAATGGATCCAGCGTCCACAGCCTTTTGGGGGGTAGAGAGTTCCAGATTTTCTCTACCCTTTGGGTGAAAACCTGCCTCCTCATTTCACTCCTACATGGCCTCGGCTCCAATTTTAAGCCTTGTTCTGGAATTCCCCCACCAGAGGAAATAGTTTCTCTGTGTCTACTTTATCCCTTTTGCTATGTTAAAATCCTCAATTAGATCACCCCTCAACCTTCTGAACTCGAGGGAATAACGGGCTAAATTCAGACAACCCCGTCCTCAAAATTTAACCCCTTTAAGCCCTGTTATCCGTTCTGGTGAATCTGCGCTGCATCCCCTCCAGGGCCAATATATCCAATATTATTATTATTATTATTATTATTATTATTATCCTTCATGAGCTGCGGTGCCCAAAACTGAACGCAGTACTCCAGGTGGGGTCCGACCAAGGCTCTATACAGTTGCGTGCTACTGAGCACTAACGTACAAATTGTACGCATTACTTTGCACTCACACGTGTGCCCTTTTTGAATCCTAATTCAAAGTTGCACAGAACTCGCTGAAGTCCGCGATGTCGTTCGTTCATAACATTTGCTGCTACGTTTACAAGTGCGACTGAACCACATACGAGAAAGTGTGCACCGTATCAACAATCATAAACCTGAATTACTGACAAAAAGTACAGGTGGCACTGAAAAGTGAGCACGACGGGTAGGTTAGGGCCGGGCACGAACCGCCATAACATGGCAAAACCCAGTTAATCCTCCCCCACCCGCCCGACAATCCCTCGATTCCAATTACAATACGAGCTGCACCGAGGAGCGAACCGAACAACAGGTTCCATACCCCCAAATTTTTTTCAACTGAGGGGTCATTTGGAATAAAAATCTTCGCTATGGAAAAAAAAACGCAAAATACACACACACACACATATATATATATATCTCACGTTTCGCCCCCACAAAGTACACAGGTCAATCCACTTTACAGTGCATTGTTTGGGAGCGCACGTGGGAGACGTCTCGACCCCCTGACAAGGCACACGATGTCAAACGCAAGGAGTATTGTTCATAGAATCGTACAGCACAGAAGGGAGGCCATTCGGCCCATCTGCCCTGCGCCGGCTCTTTGAAAGAGCTACCAACTCGTCCCCACTCCCACCCTCTCACCCCAACTCGTCCCCACTCCCACCCTCTCACCCCAACTCGTCCCCACTCCCACCCTCTCACCCCAACTCGTCCCCACTCCCACCCTCTCACCCCAACTCGGCCCCACTCCCACCCTCTCACCCCAACTCGGCCCCACTCCCACCCTCTCACCCCAACTCGTCCCCACTCCCACCCTCTCACCCCAACTCGTCCCACTCCCACCCTCTCACCCCAACTCGTCCCCCTCCCACCCTCTCACCCCAACTCGTCCCACTCCCACCCTCTCACCCCAACTCGTCCCCACTCCCACCCTCTCACCCAACTCGTCCCCGCTCCCACTCTTACCCCAATTCGTCCCCCTCCCACCCTCTCACCCCAACTCGTCCCCACTCCCACCCTCTCACCCCAACTCGTCCCCACTCCCCAATAATCCCTCCAAAACCAAAAACAATAATAAAATTGGTCATTTTCAATCCGGGACTGTTTGTGGGACATTGCTGTGCGCAATTGGCCGCCGCGTTCGCCCACAAATATACAGTCAATTCACTTTACAGTGTGTTCTGTGAAGCGCTTTGGGACGTCCTCCCGACGTGAAAAGCGCTATATCAAATGCAAGGATTATTATTATTATTATTATTAGACCCCACTCCCACCCCAACCCGTCCCCAACCCCCCACTTTTACCCCAACAGCGCTGCAGTACAGAGAGTGTGTGTGTGTGGGGGGGGAGGGGGGGGGAGAGAGAGGGGGTAGTGGGGGGTATATGTATATCGTGTCCGTGTTGAATAGTAAATAAACAGGTATTTTCTTTCGAACAAAAAAAAACAGCAGCAATTTCGCGATGGCGACAACCGCCACATCCTCCCTGTGAGGGGGGGGAGAGGGGGAAAGGGGGGGAGAGAGGGGGGAGAGGGGGGGAGAGGGGGAGAGGGGGGAGAGGGGGTGGAAGGGGGGAGGGGGGGAGGGAGGGGAGAGGGGTAGAGAGGGGGAGAGGGGGGGAGAGGGAGAGAGGGGGAGAGAGGGGGGAGAGGAGAGGGAGAGGGGGAGAGGGGAGGGAGAGAGAGGGGAAAAAAAAAAACGCGGCAGCGACCGGCGCCTCACAAACAATCCCAGAGTCGGGGGCGGGCGGGCGGGAGGACATACAGTACCGTGCTAATTTTGCCTGTGAAACAAAACTACTCACAGCATCAATGGCTCAAGCTGTGACCCCCAGCTCCTGGACCTGAGCTGGGGATTGGGATCAGGAGGGGTGGGGGGTGACTGAAGGCGCGGTGGAAGAGGAGGGTCTTGAGTGGGGCCTCGAAGGGACCTTGGGATGGAGTTTCAGAGAGCCTGAAGGCTCGAGGGCTGATAGTGGTGCGGCCGGGGACGTGGAGCAGGCCAGAGCCTTTTGAGCTGAGGGAGTGGACACCCTAGATTGAGGCTTTGAATCAAAGTCTAGGCTGAGATTCCAGTGCTATTCTTTACTCTATATTATTATTATTTATTGTACCACCTTCTTTGTATCATCTGTAAATTTAGCCACAGATAAATTTAGCCACTACCGGAGGAGTGCTACATTGTTGGAACTACGGTCCTTCAGTTGAGACGTTAAACCCATGTTCCTGATTGTACCTGTTCAAGTGGACATTAAAGACCCCATCTTACCACTGGAAAAGAGAAGGGAGTTTTTCCCGCTGTCCTGGCTGACAATCCCCCAGGTTAAAAAGTTGGGTCATTGACTTGCTGGCTGTTTGGGAGGCTTTTGTTTGTGCAAATTGCCTGCTTTACTAGAAGGAAAACTGAGACGCTTTAAGATGTTTCAACGTGATAAGATGCTATATCAAATTCATGGATTACTGTAGCATCTTGCCAACACTCGCTGTGGCAGCTCAGGCTCGGGCAAGTTGCCAGAACCCGACTTTGAAACTGCCCCCCAGGAGATTCCCCCTCTCCACACTCCTCGTTCGTCCAGAGCTCAGGCCGAGAACAGGGGCAATAGGCCAAACCCAAGGGAATTTACAGAATGAATAATGGACATACAGGCACTTGACTAGGAAACACACAATAATAATAATCCTTGTATTTGATAGTAGGGTCTTACCACATCGTCGAGACGGCTCAAAGCGCTTCACAGGATGCACTCTAAAGTGGAGTGACTGTGTGCTTTGTGGGCGAACAAGGCAGCCAGTGATGCACAGCAATGGGCCTACAAACAGCTGTGGAGTGAGCGATCAATTACACTTCGGGGATTTGTTGGCCAGGACAAGAATCCCTTTAATGAAAGTTCACAGGTTATAAACATCGAACCCACGAACCCCTTAAAGAGTTTTATACATGCAGGTGGGAGCACCGGGGGGCTGTGGAGAGATGTACAGTCCAGTCCGTCTCTCCTTCCGAGCAGAGATAGAGAGAAAGACGCTGTCCAGGTCATCGTACCCTTGAAAATGATATACACAAGTCATCATGTTGACTCTCCAACACACACACACACACAAATAAAACATGTACATATACTGTGTGTGTGTATATATATATATATGAAACACAACACACACGGACATATATAACAAACACACACACATAAAACACACATATATATTATGTTATATATGTATATAAAAAACATACAAACACAGATGGCAAATGCAACAAAAACAGCCTCGTTTCTGATGCTTTTACCTGACCCCGCAAACAAACTTATCAGTTTACTTTTCTTTTACTGAAGCATAGTCCGATTCCTTACTTTACACAACTAACAGGCCGCAGCCCAGCTCTGACTCTGTCTTAATCCAGTATTGTAGATTTACATGCACAGAGATGCATTATTAAACATGAACGTTCCTCAAAAACAGACTGGCTTCCAGGGCAGGTGTCTGTCTCCAGCAACATCGACTTTTCCAGGCAATGGAACATTTAATAATTTATGGAACTTTTATTTCCCTGAATCACCCATAGTCGCCTAAAAGAAACAAGAATCAGATTGAAAGCACGGTTTATGAGTTTTATTCCGTTGTCTTCTATTAATTCTAGAAAAAAAAAGTATTTTCTTTAACACATATATACAAAAAATTTCAAAAGAAAACAAATTTGCTTCCTATTACCGTATTTAACAAGAAACATATTTGACAAACATCGTCTTTTGAATTAAGACATTTCTGAAGACTGTTTTTTTTTTGCAATCCCAGGTTTGATCGCTCCGCTGTACAGCTTCGTCCAGAATGTTACTCCAGAAAAACTCTCATAAGTCTGATCTGTACAAGTCGTATAATCACCTAAAGTCATTTATCTGCCCCAAGTTCTGTTGAAGAGTTTATATTATTCTATGCAAGTTTGACATAACTCGTACTTTGCACACGTCATATTAAATGTATGGGCTCAACTGATACGACTTAATGTGAGGTTTTACCATATATTTACACAAGTATAAATATATTTAGATATTTTAAAAATGCAGAGTTCAGGTGTCTTGCCTCCCATTCTCGGAATCCTTAAAGAAATTGGGATTGTCAGATAAGTTGCATCGAACTTTCTTCTTCTCCCTGAAACGTCCAGAGTTTGAAACCCTCACGTGTTTGCCTTTGGTAGATTTGTCCACGAATTTCTCCAGTTTGGCAGCCAGTTCGTTCTCCGCAATGTTGGCATACGCCGACTCACTCTCCCCGTTCCCATTATCCACCGGAATCTGGTACAGGACTTTGGGGTTGGATTTCTTCTTCCTCATGAATGTCAATTTCCACCAACTCTGACTCTGAGTTGCGCTCTCACCCATCCTGAACCCCCCTCTCTACTCGCACACTCTCTCTCTCTCTCTCCTCCGCAAATCGCCCTCTCACTCGCTCTGAAAATAAAACGCAAATGGCATTCGTTACAAATGCTCAGCAATTTCACCGGATCTATGGCTATATCTGATCTATTTTAGTTTTATTTTAACTTGATTTTTTGTTAAATTTTAAAAAAACAACCCCCCCCCACCCCCCACACACAACCCCCACCGCCCCCCACCCACACACACAAACATCACAAGCACCTTTTTTTTAAAAATTCAAAACCTGCTCACCTGAACTCTTGGGGAAGCCAAAAAAAAAGGGAAAGTGTGTGTGGGGCGGTGTGGTGGGGAGGGGGGGGGGAGGCACACGGTCAGGTCATTGCTGTTTTTCTACGAGTTGTAAAAAGTCATTGAATCCTGGAACTTGCTTAGTCGGTTGTCTTGCGAATTGTGGCCGGACTGTTGTCTGGGGAGAAATGCTGAGGCACCTGTGGTTGGGTCGATGCTATGCTTCACCTGGTTTAGGTAGTTGGTCAGTGAGTTGCTTTCGCCAGCAGGATCTGGCTTGTTCCCCTGTGCCTCTGTACCTGTATGTGTGTGCTCTGCCAGGTTGTCTCTGGTGCAGGTGAATGGGGGTCAGATCAGCTGTCAAACTGACACACTCTCACCCAATAACCACACATTATGTCCCCTGAGCTGTAGCCATTGGGTGAGAGTCTGTCAATTTCAAAGAAGCCTCGCCTTTCCTCCTCCAAATCATTGAGCAGCTCATTCCACTGCCAGCTTCCCTGTGTGGGTGTGGTATTAACTTTTTTTGCCTGGAAATTGCTCTTTGAACCCCCCTCCCTCCCTCCTATCATCCCACACCTCTCCTCCCCACTCCCGCCATTGTGCAATTGTTGACTGTGTACCAGGAGCTGACTGGTGTATTTAACTCCATGCCACAGTCTCCCTCATTCACCTCCTTCAAGGCTCATCTCAAGACCCTCCACACTTACGGTCATCCTCCTACCCCCTCCCTTTCTGCCCTCCAACCCTCCTGACCCCAACCCCCCAGCTCAGGTCCAAATCCCTGGCTGTCCAGCGCCTTGGGACGTCCCCCTACATAAGAACATGAGAATTTGTTGGCCTTCCACCATCCGGGCAGTCTTTGTGTCCCAAAGATTGTATCCCGAGGTTTTATTTTCTAGCAGAAATCGATCTAATTTGTTCTTGAAACAAACCACACTTTCTGCTTCCACCGTCTCCCCCAAGAGCCTGTTTGTGACGTGAAAGGCTCCATCCAAATATAGTCTTTTGTTGTTGTTGCTGTATAGCAACAGATGCTGCCTAAGTGGACCCAACTCGGGTGCAGATCTGTAGGTGGGGCAGAGCCCAGAGCCTAGCCTTTCCCCTAGTCCAAAGTACAGCAAAGCTTACTACCTATTTACGTAGGTAAATTGCGACAGCAAGACATATCTGGGTGTGTTTAATGCAGCGCCGAGAATGTTGAATGGTCTCAAAGCACTTTACAGAGGTTCTGAAAAGCGTAGTGACTGGGAGGCAAACCTGGCAGCCAAATTGTGCAGATCAATATCAATGTCCCCCCAAGGACAGCCACTGCAGACCTGGAAGAACAGACCAGTCACTGGGGGCAGACAGTCACCCCCTCAGCTCCTGTTAACCCTGCAGCCAAAGTGGAGTAGATCCAACTGGACAAGCAGCGGGAAAGCTTGACAGACAGCGATATCAATGGCCAAGCTGCGCGGTTATAGCTGGTTAGACTCCAGCAGTTACCCCAACGCACACTCTGGGGGTCCCCAAGCCTTGGCTCTCGCCAACCTGCGCCTAATACTTTCCGGAATTAGATAAGCAGGAAGCGTCCCTCCAGGGAGAGAGAGAGAGAGAGAGAGTTCGCATTCCATTCCATTCCAACAATCTGTCTCTGGGATTTCCATGTGTAGGTGGGAGGGGGGAATTCTCAGCTTGGTTTGGAGACTCTGAAGCACGGGGATGGGTTTCTGTGTGTGAGAGACACCCGGCGACCAAAACAAAAATGATATTTGATAATAGCTTCATAAACGAGGCTTTTACCCAATTTCTGCAAATACTGTCTCCGATGCCCCTGAATCCATCCATCTTGGAAAGGAGTCTGTTACCCTCTAGGGTTCTTACTTAAGTGAGAGGACCTGGATTCGATTGCAGGGCGAATCATTGGGCAAGTTTCCTTACCCTTCCTGTCGTTTACCCAGCAGTAAGTAGGTATCTGGTTGTTAGTCGATTGGCGGATTGCTTTTCCGGGGGTAATAAACCCCTCAAACATAAATAATAATAACGTGGTCACTCAATCCACGACTGTTTGCGGGACGCTGCTGTGCGCAATTGGCCGCTGCATTTTGCCCACAAAATATTCAATCAATTCACTTTACAGGATATTCTGTGAAGCGCATTGAGACGCCTCTAAGATGTGATAAGGCACTGTATCAAATGCAAGGATTATTATTACTATTATTATTATTACCCGAGTGCTGTAATATTCCTGCTCTTTGCTGGGAATTTCAACAATTTCCTTTCACTTGGTCATTCCCTCAATGTGACAACCTAATGTTTTTCTGCAGGTGCTGCTGGGCTGCAGTGGGGGCTTTACAAGTGATCTCAGCACCTTGTACCCAAGGGCGTGGGAAAATCAGTTGAGTTTCCCATTCCTGAGGCCTGAAATTCTATCCAGTAAAAGCCTGAAAGACCAATTTGTCTCAACATGTTTGATTGGTGTCGGCCTGGCTCAGTCGCCAGCCCTCTTTGCCTCGGAGTCAGGTCCCGCACAGTGACTTTGAGCTGAGAGAAATGTGGCAATGTTGAGGTGTTGTCCTTTGGAAGAGGGATTCAAGCGAGGTGCTGTCTGCCTGCTCAGGTGGATGTTATAGGACCAATTGCCCCATTCAAAAAGAGAAGGGAGTTTACCCAGTGTCCTAGTCAACAGTCGCCCAGATAAGATTGGTCATTTATTTCATGGCTGTTGAGTAACGTTGCTGCATCAAATTGGCAGCTGTGTCTACCTACAAATACACAGTCACTGCACTTTACACTTCTCCTTGCGTTGAGTCATTCCAATGATATGATAAGGTGCTGTATCAAATGCAAGGAGTATGGTTATGATTACGATTATGACAATGAAGCAAAATTTTGGAAAGTTATCAAATTGCATCTCAGTTTCGAAGAAATAATTCCAAACAAGTCAATTTTCCCAAATCCTGCACAAAGCTAAGTTTCAAGACAGTGGTTTTAAGATTAAGACTATAATAATAATAATCCTCGCATTGATAGAGTTCCTTATCATGTCTTTGAGATGTCGCAAAGTGCTTCACAGAATTGTGAATTAACTGTGTATTTTTGGGGGTGAAAAGGTGACCTTTTGAGCTACTGACTGCTCACAGTGACTTCCTCTGTGAAGCCTGCAACCAGCGGGTGAGTGAAAACACGATACGGTTCATTTCTGATACCCTTGTGTGTGAACAGCCTGATGATGCTCACGCTTACAGAGCACACAGTTGGGGGGGTGATACCGGAGCTGGTTTGCTACCTGTGAGGCTAACACCTCCCAGTCACGATGGGGAGAAAACTGAACAAGAAAGTCCATTAAAAAAAAACCTTCTACCTCAGAGAGAGCGGTTTGCTCACTCTACAGGAGTTGGGAACCTAAGCATTGTTTACGACTTGTGAATTGTTGGTTGACAGATGATTCGCTGAGGGGTAGACACGTTAACCACATGTGAAAAATACCTGAGCAGCAATCCTGATGAATTGCAGGTAGTGAATGACCGAAACCTGCCGTATATATGGGGCAGGAGGGACACACCAGGGCGAGTGTCACTGGCTGGATGCCAGGTTTCACCCAAATCGAACACACGCAGCAGGAAGTTCCTCCAAAGCAAATGTGGGAACAGAGTCCGAGACAGGGCGTAATCTACATTCCTTCCAGTCTTAATAATAGTTGCTTAGGAACACAAGAAAGTTATTATAGCAGCACAAGGGAAGCTTTCAAGTTAGTTAATGGCTGAGCAGAAAATCTCAAAGGTGAGACATTCATTCTTGTGCGTAATGTTTGGATTTTAAAGGCTCATTTGCCTCAGGGTGATTATAATAATAATATTTGCATTTGATATTGTGACTTATCATGCTGCATCGGCTCAAAGTGCTTTAGGGAGAGTGCTGTAATGTGCAGTGACTGCAATTTTAGACAAACACAGCAGATAATTTGCCACAAACAGCCATCAAGTGAATGACCAATTTTCTATCCAAGGGATTGACAGCCAGGAAACTGGAGGGGAAAAAAATTCCTTTTTCTCCTTGTGTAGCCATGGGATCTTTGACATCCACCTGTTACAGGCAAACAGGACCTCAGTACAAAGATTCCCCGAAGGACGGCATGTCTGACAATGCAGGGCTCCCTGCAGTTAATAATAACAATCCTTGCATTTCATATATACCACCTTATCACGTCTTTGGGACGTCTCCAAGCGCTTCACAGAATAAACTGTAAAGTGAATTGACTGAATATTTTGTGGGCGAAACGCGGCAGCCAACTGCGCACATCAGCGTCCCACAAACAGGTGGTTCGATTCCCAGGCAGGGCAAAACATTAGGCAAGTTTCCGTACGCCACCTGTCTATGTGATAAGGCACAATATCAAATGCAAGGGTTATTATTATTATTACATGTATGCAGATTTACCTCTTCGGATACCTACCTGATAGAACAGGGTTTGGAGGAAGCCGGCGGTGTGGGACTAAACTGTTTCAGAGAGCCAGTATGGACACAATATGCCAAATGTCTGTCGGGTGCTGCAAAATTCTATAATTATATAGCTAAAAATAGGCGTCTTTATAATCTCTAATCTCTAATAATGAGCCATTCAATTTGAGCAACGAAACATGCCTGTAGCATCCTTCACCGCCTGTACCTGTCCTTCCTGCTCACATCCAGTACCTGCCTCCAGGCTGTTGGTTTAATTCCATTATTAAAGTCATTGACCTAAAACAGTGATATTTTTCCACATGCCTCAAAGGCACTCTGCTTATATACATTATTTATCTGTATATACACTATATATAGTATATATGCACCTCAGAAATGACTATTTACACTTATACTGTACACTCCAAGGGTATATTTTGCATGTTTATATCATTATTCACCATCATAGATACATATACTGGACTCATACACAGACACTGGCACACACCATCACACACAAATATAGATACACACCACATTCATAGCCACACATTGTCATATGTGCACACATGTATGTACTTACACATACAAGCACGCCCTTCACGTCGGAAATACGTCCCAATGCAGGTTATGCTCGTGGGGTATACAAAGGGGCAGAGGAGATTTCTTTGGCCCATTTGCAAAACCCAGCAGTGAGGTGGATTTGTGGTAGAAACGGGAAGCAGCTACAGGGAATGAGGGCTCTGGTCTACACTGATCTATCGCTCAGCATCCTGGAGGCAGAGTTGTCTCACGGTGGACATGTCTATTTGCCAAAACCGCTCACGTGAGGATCTGGACTAAGCAGCTGGTGTTGAGTAAGCTTGGTATGTGACATTGGACTTGGACCTCTAGAATACCAAGGTGACTGGCAACATCACAAACTGTCCTCTATATAAACTCTCTATATAACCTTTCAGGAGCTGATAACAAATGTCCACCAGATGTCCTGAGAGGAAACTCTGAGGCTTGGGATGGCAGCTGCTGACAGGCATTACCTCGAGGCTGAGTTCATTAACACAGGTTCATGTATCCAGGGCTTAGAATCCATCTCGATCGATATCCACTGGCTGAGTTGGCTCCAAG